GGTGAAGCATTTGGTGTGGATATCAATCGAGAACATGTCGTAGATAATTTTGAAAACTGTGTATGGGAGCCAGTGATCATTAAAAAAAATGCTCTGGCAGCTGCTATTGAAGCTGCTTGTTTAGTTTTATCTGTAGATCAAACAATTAAAAATCCAAAGTCTGGTGGTGGTGAAGAACAGCAACAGGGACGCGGACGTGGAAGACCTATGTAACCATTTGAAGTATATTCAAGAGTTAAATTTATAATAATTATTAATACTTTTTTTGTATAAGTTTTGTACTTCATATGCTTACACACTGATAACTAATTTTCCTCCATGCTTGTTTGATTTTCTATTTATATTAAACTTACACAAACATTCATTTATAATATTGTTAAGTACTAAAAAATAATAATCAATTTTTAATTAAGTAATTGTTTTAATTATTTTATTTTGCCTGAGAAAAGCTCCTTTTAATTGATGATATTTTTAATTTTCTGTAATGGATGTGTTAAATTTGATTTTGATGATCTATAATTGTGTACACTAAATAATTTTAAGCATAGGTAGCCTGATAGTTATCTAAAGTTGCTATTTCTAAGGGTATTTTTTTAAATGTATTTATTACCGGCTCCACATTTTCTCATTCTAAAATCTTATCTTGAATACCGATATTTCATTGTTAAACATAACAATTCTTACTCTGTCTTCCATAAAATCAAAGCAGGAATACCCTAGGGAAGTCACTTATCACCTATACTCTACAATAACTACACATCAGATATCCCCAAAACAAATCATACAACTCTAGCGACATATGCATAACGCTATACTAGCATCAAACTAAGACCCAAACATAGCCACCCACGATATACAATACCATTTAAATCTAATCTACAATTGGGTTCAAAAATGGAAAATTAAAATAAACGAAAACAAATCAGTTCAAATAAATTTTTCTCTGAATAAAAACGAATGTCCACAACTTTTGCTCAATAATTTGCCAATTACTATCCAAAATGTAACCAAATACTTAGGAGTTAATTTAGATAAAAGCCTTAGCTGGGCCGGCACACACAAAATAAAAATAAAACCTACAATTACTATTCGTAATTAGAAGATGTTATGAGCTTCTAGACTTATATATCGTTTTATTAGATGGACTACAACAAACAATATATTGTTCTATATTATAGATTTATAGATACACTATACCATCTTTTCTATCCAGGTAGGTACAATATGAATTAGCTTTGTAGATACATTCTCTTCRTYATTTTAGCGATACATATATTCTTTTCTCAATGGTATGTGRCGGGTGTTTTTTTYTGTCTGATGTTATTAACATTCGGTGCAATAATTGGTACTCTCATTTTCAACATTAGCATATTTTCTGATGGAAAATGTTTAATATTTTTGTGTTTCTTAGCTTAGCCCAGCGAGAAAGGATTCTATGCGAATGTGGACGAGCTTCTTGACCAGGTACTGATTATTGAATTGGCGTATAGTTTTTGGATTCCGTGTGCGGTGTGYTCTGCTATGATGTTCTTCGCAATCTCTGATTTGCAATCGGTTCCCGTTGGTTGCTGTCCGGTACTTATAGGTGTATTTGATTTGGCCGATGGTTGTGTTTTTCTATACACGATGCTCTGGGTCAGAGTGGTAAAGTCCTCGATCTACTGATCGAGTCACGTTGTTATGTTGATGGCTGGGTTTTAGGGTGAGTAGTGGTTGGACGGGAGCTTGGCGAGAATTTGAAGGTCATGAAGCTTATTGAGCGTAGGTAATTTGGCTGGACTGCAGCTGGAGTGACGAGTAGCGTGGATGCAGGTATTTGAGGAGTGGTGATCGGCAAAAGTTTTGATGATACATACGACTTCTTTGTAATGGTGTCCTTGGTATAGCTCGATCACTGGCGGTAGTTGGCTGTGTGCTCGCCGTTGTTACCAGTGGAATCCAGAGAAACACTTTTCGACTTCCAGTGTACACCAATGTCGACCAGGAAAAGGTAGAAACTGTGTATAGCTTAGTTAATTTATTAGACAAATGGGCTGAAATTAACAAGTTTTCAGTTGATCGATAGAAATTCGACGCGGCGCGCCTAGCTGTATATTTATATGATTTACGTTAGCGTATATATAGGTAGCAGCGTATTATTMCACCTTCATCACAACATTATATTATATTTTATAAGTTCATGGTATAAATACAGGAATGCAATGTCGATCGTGCAAAAGAGTATCAATTCTCCTATTTTTATAATAATCAGCCGTTATTAGTAGTCCACGGGTTAAAATCATAGATGTTATACTAGTTTAAGTCTGTCCTTTTTATAAGGTTTATGATTAAAATTATGAATTTATTTTTTTACTATCTGACAGTATTTACATTATATGTTCCTAAGCAGAGTATTTTCCGGRGTATTTCGATCTATAAAAGTAAAATTTCAGACAATTAGTTTGTCTGATAATATCTTATAAGTTATAACTATTAGCTAACAAGTTTTAAAAGTTTTTATCGGTGTCCATGTATCATTTCCAATATGCACATCAAATCATTAAATACCTACCTATGATTTATAAACTATAATGGCCCAAAATTCGACTTTCACAGATCAAGTAGAACAAATATTCTGCTTTAGTAATGAGGAATTTAAAATACATGTTGTCTTTGGCAAAAAATGTGTAAAAATGATAGTGATAAAAAAATTGTAAAATGTTTTCAAAAACGTAAGTAGTTTTTAAATAATTATGGGAGTCTTACATCAACACAGAATGCCTATATTATAAAAAGTCATTTTCCAAAAACGGTTATAACTATTATAAACTTTTATGAATAAATTATTCGTATTATATAGGTTACATAGAACATAGGTACCTATAGCACCGATATTATTATAATATATGATTGAAAATTAAGCGAAACTGTAAATAACAGTATCGGTTTTCATAATATTTATTTTGTTTTTAACACCACTCATTTATGTTAAAAATGATTTACTTCATGTTAATACCAGGTGAATGTAACAGTCAACATAATATCCAATAAACGATTAAAATTAATATAATTTAATAATCACAATTATAACTTTTCATATTTATGAGTACAAATTGCTTGAAATTAAATATCATCTACATTACACAAGAGTTAACAAATACTATGAGCAAATCTATATTATGTGTAGGTACACCATTTTGTATTGTTTTATCAATATATAATAACATTACGAATATCATTATTAATATTAGATATTTATCGGCCTTTAAAATCTGTTGGCCTATAAAAATCGCACATTACGATTTGTCATAGAAATTACAAACTAAAACATCAACTGTAAAAATAAAACAAACAAATTTTTGTATAAAATAAAAACAAAAACAAAAAAAACTTGACGAAATACATTATGTAATCTATTGGTATAAACAATTTTAAGAATATTAGCATGTTATGACATTTTCATTAGAAAAAAAAAACATCGAGAAAAAGTCATAAGACTATACGAAACCATTAGCAATAAATAACAAAATGTGTGTTTAAAACTGTTTATTTATCTTTCAATTTAAGATTCTTATATACTCTTATTTATTTATTTTTTTTTGGTTTGAAAAGAAATCGTCGAAGAAGTAGGTATGATGAGTTATTCAAATCACGGTCGAACAATCAGTTTTTGTTAAAAATCTAAGAAAGAGACTAGTCACAGTTTTGTGAAATTTTAAACCTATAGCAATAGAAACGGCATTAGAATAATACAAAAAACAATGATTAAAATTTTTAAATAATAGAAAAGAAAATTACTCAATTTTTCAATTCGCAATAAATCTTAATTTTATTAATATTTTTGATTGTCTGCTAAATGATGGCAGAGAAAGATGAACTCGGGCGTACAAACAAAAACAAAAATTTAAAATTTAAATGGTATAATCCGAATAGTCGATAACGAATATGAAATTATTGTATTTTACTTAACGATAATATAACATATATATATAAACACATGTATAATATATAATATAAATTATAATAAAAAGAATTTTATTTTATTTCATATTAATTATGTAATATATGTTTAATTTCAATCATTAATTTTTGCTTAACAATTAAAAAAAAACAGCGCCTAGATGAGCAGGACCATAATTTTAACTTAACGATAATAATATGGTTTTAGGGCATACAGTATACACTATTAAATCATTGAATCAAACTAAAGTCTAATTAGGGACTTTTTTGTATTATTTTTCCTATGTATGTTTTTTTTTTTTTTTGTAATTTTTTGTAATAATAATTTTAGATGATTAAAGACTGGGAAAATAATACAACATGGCGTTATGCTGTATCTAAACATAAATAATAAGAACAACAATTGGTAAAATAAAATAATTGAAAATCAATCAAAATAAAATATTGAGATAAAAGATAAGATCTGACGAATAAAATTAGGTACATAAATGAAGACGTGTTAATTTTATTTTACCTAAATATTCGATTAATTTATTTACTAATCTTACTATTTGCTATTAATTGAACTAATGATGAAAAAGTAATAATAATAATAAAAATAAAACTGACAAAAGTAACTATATATAAAATAACGTTTTAGAACAATTTGATATAATAATGTCGTTATAGTGAAATGTCTTTACAATACGATGTATAATAATATGGATTACTGAGTTTTTTACATATATTTTCAAGCATAATATAAGGCTGTCAAATTCATGTTACACATAGTAAATTTAAGTCTCTTATAGTTGTTTTATATTCAATTATTACGTCTTAAAACATAACAAAATGTTTAAAACCTATACATTAATATTTTATTATTTCTAAGGGCTACAGTAATATAAAATCAATTATAATTATGTTAACAAGATTCAATAACAACGTACAAATAACAAAGTAGGTATTTACATGTTTTTTATTTTTTTTTTTTTAATATAAAACTTTTTTTATAATCATTTTTACATTTAATTTTAAAATGATTTCCATTTTTATAAAATAGTTTTGTTTATATTATGTAAACAATGTATAGCTCTAAACAAACGTTAGTTTATGTATTTTTATTTTACAATAATTTTTATTTTATTTATTAAAGCAATTAATTGAGCTGAATTTTTTATTTAACACTTTGTTTGTTAACGATCAATCATGAAACATCATCGAAGAAATTTATTAATTCCAAATCACTATTTTATGATATCTCTACTAAATTGTATATGTGGTATATAATAATTTATATATTTATATATTATATCAAATGAAATTTAAGTAATTTGTAACCTATATATTTTCCAATTATTTGTTTGTTTTATGACATTTATTTGAACCGGAAGACGACTCAAGATTTTGTCATTTAATGTATTAGACATTTTTAATACCTAGTATTTATAATAATAATAATAATAATAATAATAATAATAATAATGATATTGATAATATTTTTAATAATTATTAGTATTACAATTGTAATATCTACCGTTGGGCGTTACGATGATATAATTTTAAGATTGTCACAGCAAAACGTGCACGTAAAATAAAACAGTTAAGTACTCTAATACATGTCTAACAAATCCATAAACAATGTATGTAATGTGATAGTATAATAATCTGTTTATTTAGTTACGTATTAGATATTTAGGTGTGTCTGAATAAAATATATTTATTTCTTACTTCACAGATGATTAATATAAAAAGCAAATTATTTTAGCTAAGCTAATAATATAATCATATTAAGTCTATAAATATATCAATTTGAGCAAGAGGACACAAAAATTGGATGTCATGACAAATAACTTTATAATATTATATAGTAATTTTAGTAATTATYATAGAAATAGATAATGGAATAAATTAAGTGATTGACACATGTATTCCAGTAAAATATTAATGATCTAATAATTATACTAATATTAATTATAGCTACTATTTACGTTTAATCAGCACATTATTTTAAGATAAATATTAAATACCAAAGTTGAAATAAAACATAGTTTGACATTTGGATCGTTTTTCGGGACGGAAAATCCATTTCCTATTTTTGAAAAATGTTTGTTAGTATAGACATTTAAATTCGTCGAAAACGCTAAAATAATATGATTTTTCATTATCTCAGACTTATAATTTATTGCAATATTTCTATATCAATGAAATACTTTCCCAATGAAAAACTATTGTAATAAAAATTATTAGTAATTTTTATGATTGATCACATGGTTCCTAAGCAATTTACAACGTCATAAATATTTAAAATAATTTTTAATTATTGAAACCAAAAATCGATAGAGTATAATATATCGGTAGAGTGTATACTTTGTAGGTAAAACATCTAAAGATAAATGGCAGTCTAAAATCAAGTCACTCGGAGACTTATGGTACATGAATTATGTTTTATTTTCAGAGCAGTTGCGAAACCTGTGAATTTCGAAACAAACGTATTTGTGCTGTTTGGGAAGATAAATTAACGTTAAATAAATTATATTGTAAATAATATACTATCGACGGTTTGAGACAAATTTTGTTTACATTGGTCTGAAAAACGAAATTGTATTTCAAACCATTCGTAGTTAAATTAATAATATTAAGGAACCCAACATCAGTAATTAAAAAGATTATCAATATTATGCAATAGAAGTTAGGTAATTTGAAATAAGTGCATTTATGTGAAAATACAATATCACTACTATAGTAAGCTAAATAAAAACTTTAGTTTAAACTATTTATTTGGTTAATTAGCAATAGACACTTTTATAATATCGTATCTCGATGTCCAGTTATGTAATATAACAATAATTATCGGTTTTTAAAACTTAATAGCGTCATGACATGTTGTGAGTTTTACGACGCTGTGACAATGCAAAAATTTATCGATTCTAGAATGTTTATAATATTATTATGGGACTTCCGATATCGAATAGGTATAAATATTTTTTTTTCGATGAGAGCCCTWATTCCATAAACAATACGAAAAATATGAATAAACGAATAAATATTATATTCGTATGGCAGTATGTCTACTTAAAATTCAACTATTACTCTTCCCGCGGTGTTATGAAAATACGCAAAAAATTAACAAATATGTTTTAAAAATATGACAATATCGTACACTAAATACGTAGGTATACAGGGGACCAACTTTGTAGTAAATTCAATGATAGTTTGTTAAATTATAATATAAATATGTCTATTTTAGTTTCTCATATAAAATATTATTTGCTTGGATATATTATTGATGTAAATAACAATATTTTTGACGTGTCTTGTTCAATATTCCATGGAACAGGTTTAAACGTCAATAATATGCGTTTATTAATTCGTTTCTAGGAGCAGGGCTAGAGTAATATACATATATACATATATATATTATTATTACATATAGTAAACATATATATATATATATATACTTTAGTTAATCATCGTTAGAAAAGAAGTAGTTTTAAGAAAAAAAAAATTATAATAATTATAATAACTTTAGATATTAGGAAGAGTATTTAATAATATTATAGTTATCTGCGTATAATATATTATAAATATTTAGAACGGTACCACACCGATTCCTACATGTCACTTTTCCGCGTGTTATGCAGATGTGACTACCATAATGTGGTCGTCATATAATATATTATGGCTGCTTCGTCGCAACCATTTTATATTGTAATATATAACAAAATCTATATATATATTATAGAAGCCGGACCGGAGTCGATGATGTCGGTGGTGCGATCACGTGACGATGACATGCGGCGCGGACATGAGTACTGCTATGGTAGCGGCCACAGTGAAGAAGGTGAATATGTACAGGCACATGCGGTCGACCACCATGGCCGCGAACTTCCAATCGTTGGTGATCTCCTCGTCCTCCTCGTCTTTGCGTAGTTTGTCGGTGATAACCCGGAGCTCCTTGAGGATGAGCGACAGCTCACGGTGTGGCCCCAGACACGAGGCCGCGGCCACCGCCGACGCCGATCCGCCGCCGCCGGTCAACATCGTGTGCTGTTGCTGTTCGACCATCACGTGCTCGGGCATCGGAGCTACTTGGCTTCGGGTGCCCGGGTAGCTCCGGGTGGACGAGCGCAGGTCGTCGTCCAGGTCGAGCACGTTGGCTAGCAGGCTCCTGGACGACTTGGCTCGGAATTCCAGGTCGGGCAGGTGGTGGATGGACGACGCCGCCGACTTGTTCTTGGAATCCGACGACTTGTTCCCCCCGTTGGTGGGTTGCTCGTCACGGGCAGGTCGGCTCATGCACAACAAGCACGGCATCCACACCAGGAACATGAGTTTCACCTGTTTAGACACAAGCGCGTATTGTTATAGTTGGTACTTTTGTTGTCAGAGTTGTGTCATTGCCCCAGGGTCGAATTCAAAATGGGGCCATGGCAAAGTTTGAGTAGAGCTACACCAAAATTTTTAGTTTTTCAAAAATTTTCGATATCGACATAAATGATTTTTCTCTTATAAATATCGATTAATCAATTTTTGATAATTCAATACAAGTTTTCTCACAAGTTTCCCAACAAAAACTAGAAACAAAAACAAAATTTAGCGTAAAACTTGCGTGTCGGAACTYGTAATTTCGACGAGATTTTAATAAAAAAAATTCACTTATCAAAACATTTAGTGCGCTACCGCGAAACGTAGTGACTCATTTCTTGGAATCTCCACGGGGCACGGGTCTCTTTCACCTTGCAAGGTTTAGGAGAATCAGCAGCTATATAGTACTTACTACTAATTATAGAAGTTAATTTTAAAATGTTCGTAGACCGAGCTCTGTTTTTATGTATTCCATGGTATCGCATAACCACTGCAGATTGAATCACTGTACTTAATCATATTGCATAACAAAGTCCAAATAATTATATGGCCGAGGTAACACGATAACTTCAATACAATTAAATTCCACGAACATTTTTATATAGGGAATCGGTTGCTCAATCTATGGATTTTGGTGGTGTTTCATCAAAAGTCCTGGGAGAGGGTGAGATATTTCTTATCTGAATTTATTATATATAATAAAGAATACGAAACCATTACGTGAAATCGATAGAGTCATAGAGTCTACTTGAACAATTTTCTAGGCTCTAGAAATTGATTACTACTAAACAAGAAATATATATAACGACAGTATTACGGGCGGTGGTAAATCATTTCGAAGTGATGTAGCTTGTCTTGACGAAAAAATACAATTATATATATATATTTAAATTATCACCCTATTACCCCGTATAACCTACCATAAATCTTGAGTAAACGACTAAACAAAAAGTACTCTCTTTGTATTGCTGCTCTCCATACAACTACTGCTTGTCTAGTATAAGGTCATAAGGTTAATATTTTATTTTTTATGGTCTATGGTTAAAATAAATCTATTATTTTTGATGATATAAATAGTTAACACAATTATTAAGTTTCAATAAGTGGCATTTTTTTTTTTATAAATGATTTAAATGTGATTTATGCGTCACACAATTCGAAATGGGTTTAAAGAATAAACCCAACTCAAGATTCTGAGTAGAGCGGTTAATGCATAAGTTTGCGAAGATGTGTGATTTTTTTAAATTCCATGTGAGAATAATTTTTACCAAAATTTACAAAATAACCAAGATAAACATAGACAGCAAAACAATTTACCTACGAAAAAATCATATGAGATATTTTGTTCTTATTTAAAAACAATTTAACATAAGCTTGAGTACTCATGATTTTCAACAAACATATTATATAAAATATGTATTTTAAAAACATTGTAAGGTGTTCAGTATATTATATTGCTTATTTTTGAGTTTTTTTATAGTCTATAGACATTTAAAACGATCTACTTCTTTTCAGATTATTTAACTTAAGGATGAAAATTTTTTTGTTAGTTTGATTGGAATTCATTACAAAGATTTATTACACATTCTTCTTACATTAATTGAAAGTATAAATAATTATAAGTATAGGTTCAATAGTTTATAAGTGTTTACATTTATAATTTTGAAAAAAATTGTCAGAACCATGACAGTTTTGGAACTATTTTTTGTAATACTTTTATTAAAATTTAAATATATATACCTAAAGTTCAATCAAAGGTTTGCAAATTGAATAGAAGATTTTTCAAAAGTTTTTCTTGTAAGAATCAAAAACTAAGTTTAGTATAAAGTCACATTTATTTGTTTTGAACGTTATAAATTAAAATATTGATGAATTCTGACAAAATTATGAAATTATTTAGTAACACTTATATATGCTGACAGATTTTTAAGTTTCTGGTCTTAATCGTTTTTAAAAATATTCAATAAATTATTGTTATCATTRAATTTAACACAACCACTATACTGGCCCAATAAATTAAGAGGTAAACTCAACACTTAATATATATTAGAACGACTTTGGTGATTTATTTTTTAAATAAAATTAATATAAATGTACACGTTTGAGTATTTATGATCTTTTTTTTTTTTGTTGGAGGGCGTTTGTTATCATTTAATTTACAATACACCTATATACCTAAATTATCGTTGTAATATTTTTTTTTTTTTTGAATAGGTTTAGATCATATTTTTATTGACTTCCACATGGTTATAGTTTGATCAATTCATATAAAAGTAATGTAAAAGCATGTAAAAATATTAAAATAAAATTTAAATTTTGGATTTAAATATGTTAAAAATGCTTTGGTTCATTTATTTATATTCATTGTACTTCATATTATTTTTTTAGTAAACTGCATTTCAACCAGCGATGGTGATAATATTATAATAATTTAAAATAAAAAACGTGGAACGATAAGTGTAGCGGCGCGTTGGATAGGCAATTTTGCTACACACATGCGTCGAAAATATTATATAACAATATTATTTATGATTATTATTAAATTATTATTTTAAAGTTTGAAATTTAATGTAATTGGTGTATTATTTTAATATTATTATAAATACAATTTTTCTAAAAAAAGTATTTTTTTTTCCAAAACCCTCTTCTTATATATTATGTTATACAAATCTAGACAAAGGTTTAAAACAGAAATTATTAATTTAATAATATCATTAATTTATTATTAAGTTAAAATAATTATTTAATACCTAATATATTTCGTATTATAATAAGAACTAAATTATGATTACTTTGTTCTYGTGCTCTGTTTTTTTGTAGTCTCAGTGTATATTTATTCATTATCTTTTATCTCAATATTATACCATAATTTATTGTAATAATAATTGAATTACCCATTTGGACATGACGTGAGTGTCCGCATTACGGTGATGATAATTCAGAATCATGATTGTGGACACGACTGACGATGCAACCATAAACATGATACAGTTGAAATAAGTACCTAAAGGCCGCAAGAACACAATAAAATATACATTAATAAACACGAATTGGTATTTTTTTTCATTTTTTTTTTCAAAGCATCGTGCATTCATGTTTTCTAAGTGCAATAAAAGTAATCTAATTTGTGACTTCGAATATTAACCAAGGATAAATTATTAATGCATAAGATTTTTGTAAGAAATAATATAATACTTTTRACTATCTTCATTATWTTATTGAACTTACATTTGAAAAAAAAAATATAATTCCAAGTCACTGTAGAAATCATAAGTTGATTCTCATAAAAAAAAATATCATCTATTTTGAGATGTAATGATTGAGAAAGTAAAAAGTGTTCAAAACAAACTACATAGATAGTAAATTGTAAAATAAAATCAGACATAAACAAGACAGGTTTGTATATTTAAGACAGACAGATGTAAAGTAATGTACTACTCATGCAAGTAATACAATAATTATCGTAACATTCGTAACTATTTTTATATTTTAAATTTAACATTTGATAAACTATCAAGTCTTGTTTAAATCATCATCATTATATAATGAACACTTTAGACCACGGATGATTATAGAATGAAGTTGTATTATTTTCGTTGACGATTTATCATCTAGCGAAGTAGGTACTTTTCTTTTGATTTTAGTTGATGTATCAAACAAAAGTATCTATACAAATAATTCCTTTCATTGTATGTTGTATTTGTATATATAGTATAAACAAAATTAAAATAATATAAACGTGTCCACATGCATTGGCGCGTTTTTAGCGCTTTTATGTATACGGTACGAGTATACATAATAATAATAATAATAATACAAATAATAATAATTATAACCATGATAGACACTTATAGATTACACTTTTATTTAATACTGTCACACGTATAATATTTTCTTAAAATGTTATTTCTGACGATTGACATAGTAGAAATATTCATTAAAATTATATATTGAGTACAGATTTCTGCGTGATGTCGGTGAAAAAAATGATTTATCGCTATAAACAAAATGTCAGTTTATAAAAACTGAATATAGCAAAAAAAAAAAAAATTGGATGAACTGCATGTTGGTAATACACAAATAAAATAATATAACTATGTAGGTTGCGGGTAAGTCAAAAAAAAAAAAAATATATATATATAATCATATGATTTGTAGGCATTTTTACCTTTTACCCTGTAAATCACTAAATAAGTTTTTGTAATTAATATAAATAGTTACGCATATTTGGGCTTAGTAATTACAGTTGTTAGTTGTTACTTTACTGGATGAAGTATATGAAGTCACTGGTCAGAATACGAACTATTTTGTTTGTTTGACGTATTTAACATGTTAATATCTAAACAACTACTGTTACTTTATACCTTTTTGTAGTAAAAATAAATTTAACATCTTGGGATTTTAAATTAAATCCAAATATTCAAACAATAATTAAAATGACCATTTGCCTATAATGCCATCTTACATAATTAAATATGTGAGTTAAACCTAACCTCAACTTTTACCACCGACATAAATATTTAATACAATTTGAGCTTCGATAGTATTAATAGTGTAAAATATATTCTATTAAATATTTTATAAAAATAAAAACCAAAATAATAATAACATAAAATACCAAACTAATTATTTGTACGTAATTTTTAAAATATTAGTAGTTTACATAAAAACTTCGCTAGATGTTAAAAATAGATGTACCTATCCTCGACAGACGTATGTACATTCCTTATTCCTTAGAAACAATTACATCTGAGTTCATCATCTATGGTCTTAAGATAATCATAATTTAAATGACTTATACAAATCGGAGTTAAAATAACTTGTTATTGAATCGATTCTGTTTTTCATTAAAAAAAAAAATATATATATATATATATATATAAATATATTTAGCTGTAAATTAATTATATTTATTAACTTTGTACATTTATTTTCAACGGTGGGTAAAATAGAGTTTTTAACGGTTTTTAGTCTTATTTTTTTGTTCACCCTTGACGTGAAATGCATTTATAATATTATATATATATATATTTATTTTTAACCCGATTTGCACGAAGTCATGTGTAAATTAGCTAAATAACTTTTAAGAAACTACCGGCTTTGTTACTTGGAGGCAGAGGGGCCCACAAATATATTATTATAGTAATATATATGATTGATTAAACATTTTGTTTTTAAATTAATATTTAACCATTTTTTTTTAATTTGTGAAATAAACAAATATTGTTTAATTTACAATACGAATTGGTTAATATTTATCTTTGACGCGACAACATCGGTTTAATCAGTTTTATTGTTTTCACACAACATTGAGAGAAAATAATTGAGTAAAAAATAAAAAAATAAAATCAATAAATAAACTATAAAATGAGGAGGAAAAGGAAGGAAATGATGAAATAATCATGTGATAAACATTTTTAACGCAAAATGATAAAAAAGTTAAATGAAAATGAAAATAATAATATCAACATTTCGTAATAAATAAAAATGTATGTTTTACTTAACATTTATAATATAATACATTATATTATATAAAACAAATGAATAAATAATATTTATACTGATTGATAATAAAAAAATAATAAAAAGTTTTTCAATTATTTAATAATTATGTTTAATTTTTGAAAATCAATAGATCACTGGTGCAGTCTGCAATATCACGTCCCATCTGGTACTTTGTTTCGGTTTTAATAGTGTAGTGTTACAAACTGAACAGAAACAAAATGTAGAGAAAATGAAAAAATAAATAAATTAATAAACAGAAAACTACTGTAATGAGTGAAATCAAAAACAATAAATAAATAAAACATACTGCCACGTATTCATGATCACACAAACAAAACTGTGTACATTATTTTAAATGTTTAGTAGTGTATATTAACATATAAGCATGTATATGTTCATACACATATATATATATATATACACATTAATATGCGATATACTTATTTATTTAGCAGTAGTTTTTTTTTTTAAAATTATTATTTAACATTCGCACGGCTTTCTTTCTTATTTAGTTTTTTCTGCTTAGATGGTTTATCGGACAACTGAGAGCAGAATGTCAAATACAAATACGAATGCACAATGAAACACGGTGACGATCAAGTAGTTTACGAAACATAAACAAAAAGATAGCATGCTATAGAAATGTTTGTAATGATGTTGAAGAAATATGATGTGTTTTTTGTGTTTTTGTATTTATGTACATTGTACAAGCGTTTTCGGCTTTTCACAAAGAAAACTGATAACTGTAATTAATTTATTTTGTGTGTTGTGATTTCAATGTTTAGATAACCACATCGCTATGAACTCTGATGGTTACAATCGTTCTCTCAAAAAAGGCTGAAACGGTGTGAAGTAAGAGTTATTTAGGACGTAAGCGATACTATTATGTTTACTAACCAAAAATTTTATTTCCTTTAAATATTTTGCCATTTCTACATTTATTTTTAATGAGAATTGTGAGAATTAAAATATAATAAAAATAATTTAATCTTTAAAAAAAAATTGAAGTTTTCTTTACAAATAATGTTATTCTTATTTTTAGTATTCAAGTTTTTTTTATACAAATAATTTAAAAGGTATATTATATTGTAATTCCCCAGAAAATG